CCTCGGCGAGCCTGCCCCTCGGCGAGCCGGCCGCGCCGCGGTCTGCCTGCTTCGTGCGGCGGGCCGGCGGCGGAAAGGGGTAGCCGTGCCCAAAATGTCCCGGCCGCCGCTGGCCCGTGGCTGTCGTTGCATGGCGCCCAGGGAGGCGTCGGCCTTCGCAGGGCAGTTGCGTAGATAGGTTTTTTTTGTTGGGTTTCGGGGTTGGTTTTTTTTACTTTTAGTTTGGGGTTTTGGGGTTGGTTTTTTTTGACCTTACCCATGGTCGGGACTAGGTGGGTTTGACGTTGGTGAGTGTCTTGGTGCAGAAGGCATCTCACGGCAGAGGGATGAAGTGGTGCCGGGAGGGGACACCCACTGCGTGGGTCTGAGAGCTAACAGTTGAGCTGGGGGGGGTTGAAGGGTCTGTTTTGTCATCAGGGGAAAGCCGGAGAGAAAATGGGAAAGCTGGAACGGGGTGTTTATTGAGGAAGGCTCCGTTTTGCAGGGGCAAAGTGGATAGAGAAGACGGTGCCGTCAGTCTGTCGGTCACCCTGCAGTCCGGTGTACCCTACTGCGTACTTTGCCTGAAGACCTAAGTGGGCTTACAAGGGACAGGATCGGGCTGTCGTGGGCAGCAGCTTTGCCCCGGATGGGGAAGATGAGGAAGAGGGCCTCTCCCCCCCTTGAGTCAGTTTGAGAAGAGGGAGTGGAAGGGTAGCAGAGAGACTTCTATCTCCTCTCACCTGTTCTCAGTCCCCATTCCTCCACCGGAGACAGGTCAGGACCCTGCTAATTCTTCCTGCTACCACCTGTCCTCCTGGAGATGCCTTCCTGTACTAGGCACCCAACTTGACTGCTGATAACCTCTGCTGTACAATTAGTGCTGTATTTTTAAAGAATGCACCATTATGTGGGGTAGGCCATTATATTACTTAGTGATCTTTGCAAGACAATTAGCTGAATGATGCCAAAACTATCAAATTTATACTGTCTTAGATGAAGGCATTTTTTATTTTTTACCTTTGTTTTTACCTGACAAGGGAATGTAGTAGAAGGGGTATTCACAGAAATATGTATTTGTATAACCAAATATATACATATACATACATATATAAAATATGTAGTATTGCGATCTGAGGCCTGATCGTCTTTCAGCTACTCCTGCAGTTGAAATCAAACTTGACGCTGTGAAGTCTTTGGTATTATGGGATCACCATCAGGCACAAATATCTAAGACTGGGTCTCAGGCCTTATTATATTCAAAGTAACTAACCAAATCAAGCTAATTCAGTATAAATGAGTTCTAAGTCAATTTAAACATAGCCCCATGAAGATTTCCGTCACTTTAACTAAATGGAATTAGAAAAATACTTTAGCTAGATTAATAAATACTTTGGTTGAGCGCAAGATATTAGTTAGACTTTCTCTTTCTCCATTCACCAGTCACAGGAAAGAAACATTATTATACAATCTGTAAATCCAATCAGAAGTTGCTAATGTGGCGTGAATTTTGAATAACAAATACTGGTATTGAACTTGTGGGCTGTTATTCATAACAACACTTGTATGAATTATTTTGTATAATACATTTTGAGGAAGCCATAAGGCTTCATAAAACACAGAAGAGAAACAGAGTAATTTATTCATTACAAATAATGCAGTCATTTTGCATACAGAATTACTATGTAATCTTAAAACAAGTTGAGCCTCTCCGACACATTACTGTGAGATACTGTGAGTTGTTGTGGAGAAATAGTGGTAGAATGCTGTAACAGTTTAAGTTAGTGAAGCCCCCCTGTTAACTGCAGAAATGATAAGGTTTCTTTTCCAAATATTTGTTATGGTGAAAGAAACTTTGACACCTGAAAAGGTTACCTGTTTGAGCACCATCAATAGGATTAACGCCAATTCGGGTATCCTCTTTCTCTTTTTTAATTTTTCAATTATGAGAAACATTTGGATGTTGTTTTTTCCACCCTGTTTTTTCCTGCATGAAATGTATAGGAAGAAGGAGAGGAAGATCAGTGAAGAGCACTTTTGAAAATGCCACCTTCCCCAAGGTAGAAACGCTGCTGATGTGTGATTTTACAAGAAAGAAAACTGCATTTGATGCCATCTGCAGTCCTGGACCAAACCCAAACTGTAACTCAGACTGAAATGGAGTTTGTTGTTCTAGTACTGGGTCAAATACAAAACTGCCTTTAGCAGCCTGCTCTCAGGAGAGATTCTCTTAGAATGAGGTAGTCGGGAGACTGAATTACTGCTCGCCGTCTTACGTGGTGTTCCAAGGTCAAAGTTAGGAATATAAGTGGAAATGCAGAAATGAACTCTTTGATTTGAGGTTGTTGGAGATGACAGCTGTTGTTTAGCTGGGACTTGCTTAGATGGAAGAATATACCCTGAAAATTATTTTAACTAGGTAGGTAGGCATAGGGCTCATCGTTTTCTGGATGAGCCTTTTGCTTCAGACTGCAGACTAGAATCAAATTGAAAGTGTTGGAGTCCACTTCTGGCAGAGCAGGTCAAACAAGTCCTACCTAATCCAGCCTGATGTTCATTCTTCATGATATACAAGATTATTATAAACTAATCTGTTAGTCATTGAAAAATCAGCTAATGTTATTTCTGGCCAGACCAGTCTCGCTTCCTGTGGAATAAAGGCTGTGTAGAGCAAAAGTGAAATAATCATGCAGTACATTATTGAAAATCTAGGACTTGTCTTTGGTGTGTACAGGAAGAATTTAAAATAGTAAACTGCTGGGTTTTGTACTGTGCTTGCTTCTTTATTTTGCGCAGCAGCTGATAGGGTTTTTTGGCATTGTAAGGATTCAGTGTAGAATTCAACTGTCTAAAGCTTACCTCACATTTACACTATTTACTCCATAGCAGCTAGCGTCAATGTTGTTTGGACTTGCCAGCACTGGGTAAAGGAAATAGAGTGTACAAATAAGGCTTAACTAGGCTTACTAATTGCACTAAGTGCTTAAAATATCTTTCAGAAAACTATTAAAAGAAGTCTATGAGATAAAAGATATTAGGGAGATATTTATATCAAAACAATGTTGTAAAGCAGTTCAGTGAGAGAGCAGATGTTTGAAAACAACTGTTTTCAGTAGGCAACAATTACCACATATTTTTATTTGTGTCTGTCTATGTCATTGATGGCTGTTGATATAAAATGTACTCTCACAGTAAGTTCAAAGACAACCACCTACCTACTAATTTTGTGATATGCAACGTTTACTGGTAATCCTCCCTATAGCCTTTCCTTTGTAGTCATCTTCTGTATGAAACTATATTTATTGGAATTTGTGCAGACCTTGATCCTCAAGTGACTTCAATGAAACCATCATGTACATCAA